ACTGCCGGTTTTATATGCAAAACTGCATTGAAACAGTTTTCCCTTCATTCACTATTACATTATTACGAAACCAATTTGAAACATATGAAGTCCTAATAACCATTGTTCCTTTGTTGCAAAGAATATTCTTGGCATCCAGACATGACAAGCAGACTGTCCTTTCATTTCTAATGGACGAAAGCATACTATTAGGCGTAAAAGAAAGAAGATTGGGCCTAAGATTAAAACTTGCGGGACGCGTGTTCCAAAAGCAAAGAATTGAAAAAATAATAAATAATTTTACACACTTTTTTAATACTTATTGTTATATTTTTTAATAGCATTTTTTTAGTTTACTGACGTCTGAAGTTTCCACCGCACGTAATTTTGGAAACAAACATGTAATTTTGGGGGGGGGGACGTACGATGCTGAATTGGCCCCTCGGGTGACTCATGAACAGCACGCTAGCTTTCCGTGGTGCGATCCCGGGTTCGATACCCGGTCGGGGCAAAAGTACAGCGAAACTTTCTAATTCAATCGTCTCAGAACCTATAGCTGTGTGTCGAAAAATACTCAGGCTGGCCAGGTATGCTACATGCGGTGATGGGAATGCGTCATGCTCGTCACTTGTCTCCTTTACTCTCAGCCGTGGATAATACGTAAAATGGAGCACAAAACTAGGAACACTGCTAGTTGAGTGAAATTGGAATAATCCGATTCTAAACTGCCAAATACAGACATAATGTTGAATTTTGTGGTTTTAGTTCCTTCGTGTGATTAACCGCAACCCTCGAAAAGTATTGTTTGAAGAGTCTTTCCAGATCGATCATCTGGCTCTCATTATATTTTTAATGCATTTCATTCAAAGGTTTGAAATGATTTTGTCGTATTTTATACGATATTCCATATTGCTTTAATTTTGTTATTAGCGTTTATAATTCCCTGATCATTCATAATTTTTGCCTGTTCTTATACTTTCCTTAATATGCTTTTGTGTTTTCAAAGGTTGACATTGAAATCTAGAATTACGGTATAATGCTTAGAAATAAAGTAAAGAGTATGTTTTTTTTAATATTCAAATTCATAAAGTTATCCAAGCATTGCTTTTCTTTGAAATGTTTAATTTAATTTTTTTTAAAGAGAAACGCACTTGATAAAGTGTGATGAAAACTGAGAAAAATAAATTGCTGCAGGATAAGGTTGTCCTGAAAGGCCATGGTGACCGTTAGCCGGAGAGATCGACCACCCTCTCGACCATGGCCCGCAGTTCCTCGACGGAAGGGCATGCTTCCGGCGGGTGTCTGTTGGCTGAGGAGCCCATGGCCATCATCAGCCGCACAGTGTTCGATCACCCGTTCTCTCATTCCCGCAGCTTCTCGGCCGAAGCGTAGGCTTCAGGTGGGACAGATGGATCAGGAAGTCCTTCGTGATCGTCAGCCACACACCAGACCACCCACTTGGACATGCCCTCACAGCTCCTCGACCGAAACGCCGGCATCCGGCAGGTTTGGCGGAGTCCAGCACAGCAATTCGCCGCTTTGGAAAGGACTAGGAATTTTCAGATAGCAATGGTAATGTGAGCTGCTGTAAAGGACATTGCATAAGGATATTGCGCGGCTGTGTACGGCACTGGAAACTCTTTATGTTAGTGGTTACAATGGGCAAAATATTGGATTCATTATACCCTCCTAATTTTTCCATTCTTGCATTTTTGAATCCCGGAATTCTGTCACTATTTATCAACAATGCTTCAGAATATTTTAGAATATGTTTTATATTTCCTACCGTGACTATTCTACAGCAGGACATTACAGGTTTGGCATGCATTTCATGGACACATTTATTAAATTTATTAGAACATATCCGCAGGACATACATACACATACCGTAGTCTGTGTCGTTCCGACGACCAGTAGGGAGGACATTACTCGTGTCAAAACATTTTTAGAGCGTTTTCGTATAGTGAGCAATTTCAGTAATAGAGGTGAGGCACAAACCTTACGCGAGTTATATCCCAACGTACAGACGGTACATAGTACGCTATGTACTCCAGAGCAAGAGAGGGCTTACGGATTCAATTAGAGTAGAGGACAAGGCGTCCTCTGTGACCCGATAAAAATTGTATTTTGGAACCGGAGGAAAATGCGTCTTCTGCGACCCCGAGAAATTGTCACATAGGGTGTAGAAGACTCCGATATTAACGCTTGTTCCTTTGACCTCCACATAATTCCGAGGGTCACTTCGACTTCTGCCCGCCGTGATATCTAGAGTTCCCTCGCTCGAGGCGCTCACCACCTTCCCTGATATGGGCTTCCCGGAGCGCGCTTGCTCCAACTGGTAATGCCAAGCGTCATGCAACTTCTATCTGGAAACAGAAGTGGGGGTAAAGTGTACATAGTTTGTAAGAAATCATTGCACGATTTTCATTACCATTTTAGTCTTTGTATTGGAAATTTTTATAACTTTGTATATGTTCACTTCTGTAATAAACTGTGTGTTGTCACTCTCTGAGATTTCACCAAGTCTGTTTGAAGAATCTGTCGACTAGCCATCGGCATTACCCAGCCCGCTAAGACTCGCCGGAATTCACAGAAAATATTGCGTACGTAGTGTCATCATAGGCAGATTGTGTATACATGAAAAACTAGTTCTCTCCGAAATTAATGACGGCCTACTTTGAAAAAATGTTTATTGATTGTACGCAGAAGCATCTAGGGTCGATTAGAGACTTTTACGGCAGACTCGCCTCGCTAGACTCGACAGCCATGCAGCTGTTACAGTATCCTCGACACGGCTGCGACCAAAACGACGTTTGAAGAAAAGTTGCTAGCGCAATTTTTAGCAGAACTGAGAAAGGAAATATGTAAGTTCGTTTCAGGTCGTAACCCGAAAACAATGTCGGTGGCCGTAAAATTTGCAAGTCAAAAGGAAGCGATTGCTACGAGCTACGCGACTGCGACGCGAACCATAAACTCACTGAATCCCCTGGACGGCGCTCGGGTGTGGACAGTGGGTAACATCGCTGCAGATGGCAGTAAAACCTTTTTTTGTACACAGAAATCGTCTCACGGGTATACTCAATGATCAACACCACCGTTAACGTATGTGTCGTTGCAGGATTGCACCTTCCCGTCTTATGAGAATAGACGTGAGCACATCCGGTCATTTATCGACTCTGCCGCGTGGTCACTAAAGAGCATGACTAAATAAAAAAGTCGTTTGACCAATTAGCTCAAGATACTTCTGGGCGCACAAGGTGTGTCAAGGCGAGTGACAGTCAATGTAAAAAAAAAGAAAGGTTAGTGCTTTCAACACTACAAGTGGCCATTACGATTACGAATGTAACCGCATTTAATTTGGAATAGTTGACTCTCCCAGGCCCATTTATGAGGTTGATGACCAAAGTAATGGAAGGGATAAAATATAGGTTGTATCTTCTATTTAGATGACAGCATGCGCTCTGATCAAAAGTCACGGGCCATATACTGGGCCTAAAGGAGGTACACGAGCGCCGAAAGGTAAGGCTTACTGAAGTTAACTCCATTAACTTTAAGTTAAAAAATATTTTTTTCCAAAGAAAGACATTTCTAGGGCACGTTATTTGCGACAGATGGGAATATGGTGTGGAAAATAGAGGCTATTAAGACATTGCCTGTTCTATCGAATGTGAAACAACATCAACCGTTCCTCGGGCCAGTAAGATATTACAGGAAATTCATAAAAAATGCGGTGGTCATGTCCAATCGCAGCGGAGAGCCTTTGAAACCTTACGTGATTGCTAAACGGAGTACACAAGTGCTAAAGTTCCACGATTTTAGTAAACCGTTCGCTCTAACAACAGTTGCATCCCTAAACTCAATTGGGGGTGATCTGGCGCAAATATTTGAGGATGGCAATACGTTTGCACCAGCAAACAATTGACCAGCGAGCAGCGACCGTATTTCACAACCGAACGGGAGTGCATCGCAACAGTTACCACGACAAAGAAATTCGTGAATCTCCCGGGCATACGCCAGCTACGTACTGCAATACACAGTGGTACGATGGACGAAAGCCTCGTCGGAAAAAACGTAAAAATCACAAACCAACCCGTTGGCTTCTGGCTAGAACTCTGGATAACGGAAATGTCCCAGTACTCATTTACCATTTGTCAATTGCATGGAAAGGCTATCGCTCATGCAGCTGCTGTACCTATAATTCCCCATACAGTTTCAATCGCCAGCCCTCTCGTAAATTATGAGCCGATCTTGGATAAGAGAAAGATAAACGTAAAGCTGAAATTGTACAAAAATCTAGCACCCCTAATCACCAGAGCTTGTGAATGCGACCCATAATACTTCATAATCACGGAGAGGGTGCTGTACAAAATTATTAGCCGACACACGGAAGTATATTGTCATATGTGCCTCCACGTTTATGTTTAAGCATATCTTGAAACCGCGATGTTCAAAGGTATGTAGAGGACTTCCTCAAGTAAAAAAACGTTAAGAATCCCATTCCGTTGCAACCCGTCCAAAAATACGTGTACCCTTTCGATAAAGTAGCGCCAGATATAGTAATTTGCGTAAGGAGGTCTCACCAGGGAAACATGTACATTCTGATATGCCAGACAGTGCAGGCAGTCAATTACAGGGATGTTATTGTCGTGTAACCACTCTACCAAAGGTTTCTCGGGATCCGTGGCTTCTTCATGAGTCGCACCAGGTCATCCAGCTGAAGGTCATTCACCCATATGGCCGGAACCCTAGAAAGCCATGTTTAGTGAGCCTCAGGCGAGGATTGAACCTGAGGACCCTAGGACCGGACCGGAGAGGCTCGTTTCCAAATATGCTAGGCCGGGACCAGCCGTTGTCCACCACAATATCGGATGCGCCGGGCGGAAACTGCGCGCCGGCTGTCTTCGCGCTCATCGGCGGAGAGGTGGAGCCAAAGTGAACTCCAGAGAGCAGCCGCAGCGGTTTCACGGTGGCGCCTCGTAGCTTCACTGCACTCCAATACCCGAAGACAGGTCACCCGTAACTCCGAGGGCATGCCTCCACCGACACCTCCCACCACGGAGGCCTCTCTGCTGTCACCGCCGACCCCTCGTCCACCCCTCGCCACATGGCCAGTCCTAATGTCACCATCTCCGCCAACGTCACAACATCCTCCACTCGCACACATATAGCCTCGGCAAGGTCAGTTTGCGCCCGTCCAGCGCCAGCCACAACCGCTTCGCGACCCACAATTTCCTCTCATTGCAGGGACGGAGACTGCAATGGCACGTGCTGAGGCAGCAATGGTGTGCGAGTCACTGCTGACTTTAAGATTAAACATCTATGGTGAAGGGACCTTCTGGACCGACAGTTTCCCATGGGAAGCTACATGACGATTCTTGCCCACGCCAGCACTGAGCCTTTTCTCAGAGAATGGTATCAGTGCCGACTGGCCGCCCCTGGGCCAGACCACCTTGCCGCCCGATTTCGACGATGAGGAGCATGCATACGGCTGGTCAGAACCAGTGCTTTGGCAGTGTCCGCCCACGCCAGGGCGTGACCTCTCCCAGATTTTATCGGGACCCAAGGCTTCCACGTGAGCTGCTGCCACGACAGGTCTTCGAACTAAGTCATTCAAGACCCTGGAAAGCCACGCCCAGCGAGGCGCGGGCGATGACTGAGTCTGAGGGCTCGACCGGGCTGGAGAGACGAAGCTCGCTTCCGAGGCTACGCGCCCGAAGCCAGCGGCTGACAGCAAGAAAACTGCGACTGTCTCTGGCTGCGTCAGAGGCGGCAGCTGCGTGATGGAGTTCTTCGCTCTCATCGGCGGAGTGATGCAGCTAATCCGTCATCCGCAGCGCTTCACGGTGGCGCCTCGAAGCTTCGCCGCATCGCTCGGCTCCAACGCAGGCGCTGCTTCCGGGCCTTAGTGACCGGTGAGGTGTGCCACATGCCAGCATAAGGACCTGCCGCCGCTAGTGCTCCCGTGTAAGTACTCTGCCTGCTCCCGCAGCCGAAGGAGCGCGTATGCGAATCTCGGATGGTGGCTGACTAACTGCTAAACACCACTGAACGGCCGTGAACATCGCTGGAAGTGTGTATGACTAAAGCCTTACGTGCCAAGTTTTACATGCGTAATGTCATTTCTATCAATGTAGTGAACATCCAAGAAATTAAATGGTTGTGTAGAAAACGATGTGGAGTGTCCCAAAGGGTTGTGAATCGTCTACGCATTATAAAAAGGGCTTTGAAAACATTCAATGAACATTTCATAAGATTCATTAACATTCGATGAACTAATTCAAGATCTGCAAAACATTATTTAAATATAAAATTACATAAAAATTATTGAAAGTATGTGGATAAACATTTACTTTCACGTGTAAATGAAGTATAAACACACAGAAAGATGCGTTTTTATCGGTCTACCTACTACATTTTCGTGTTTTGTTTATGTCTTATTTGTGTCACTAGTTTGTATTGAACATCAGAACAGAACAGCACAGTATAGCACAATAGAGTACAGTGCAGTACTCGGTCGCGTCTCCGAAATCCCCTTCCCCGCCGCCGCGGCAGACGAGGGGAGGTAATGAGATGTTGCCCAGGTTGTCTCTAGGCATTCGCCCTTCGCTCGGGCGGCTTGGTATGTGTATCCATAGAGTTAGGTTGGCCGCTCGTATCCCCTCCACACCCCGAACGCATACCACACAACTACAGCAGAGCCACTTCCACTGACGCAGCGATGGTGTGGCCCACCGGTATATGAACGGACGCAGAAATGTTACTCATTTTTTGCTCTTCGTGAGCGAGGTAGTTGTCGTCAGCGTCCCTCAATTCGGTTACCCTCCGACCGAGGCGGGAATCGACTATGTACGGAACAGTGAACGACCAACCACCAGAATGTCTGCCGCCGACACTGCTGACGACCATTTCTACCCCACCCTCCTGATGGCGACGGCCTACCATATGCTGGACTGTGAAACCGCTGTAGTGATGTAATATTGTAATTACAACAAGTACATTGAATAAATACTTCTAGTAATCAACCTGATGTTCATATTTTCCCCGTTACATACTCCCTCCCCTTATGTGTTTCCGACATATATATGTCATAATCGGTGTCCTGTGGATCCCTCAGAAAACAGGTACGAGGAACAGTTTAAAGATTTTATTTCATATTTTATTAACCTAAAAATTCAGTTAAAGTAAAATGCCAACCTTTTACGGACGGATGAGAAGTGAACCTACTTGTTTAATGCACGTCGGGGTAAACACTATTATTCGTGAAGGAAAAAATTAATTCAGGGTCTAACATTTTCCACTCCAACAGGAAATTTCATAGGGAAGAAAAACATTTTAGACGATACTTTCAGTGATGGCGAAATTTGACAAAATAGTAAGTATGCTATAATCAAATATTGAGCAATAACTGTTATTGTAGAAGAGAAATAGATTAAATCATTATAAAGTTATGTGAGCATGATAAAGACGGTTTCGAAAGTAGCGACAGTGAAGATGGGTGACACGCTAGTCTCTTCACTCCCTCCATCAATCATTCATAGATTGCAGAGCGGCCTTAAGAAGCTTGATCTCTGTCCTAGACGTGGTGGGAGATCATATGCAACTTGTTCACCTCCAAGAGGAGTTTAACCTGATGAGCTATAGAAATTCAAATTACAACTAAAAGGAACCACAGTCATTACTTTAACGCCGAGTAAAGGCGAATGAATTTTCTCTAACCGCACCATGGTATGGGTCCTCTGAGCTAGTCCAAGCCCGTCGGCAATGGTAATATGTTACATTGAAATAACTTCTAATCGATGTACCGTACGGTCACCAATCCTTATCGTCATCGACTAAACTCCTCATGTCACCAGGAGATAGAACACTTTTAGTACTTGAAAGCACCCGGACGAAAAAAAGAGCAAGAGCCTATGTGCGCAAGAAAGCGACGTAGCAAAAAGACACCGATATGTGTTCTTATCACTGCCGGATAAAAAGATGCAATTAAGTCTTATGTTGACATAAGCTAGTCAGTCGTTACGTCACCTGAGATATTATTCCCTGAAGTTAATCAGTATGTGGTTAGGTAAGTTTCCTCTAGAGGTCAGTTGATCCCTAGAGACCCGAACTTGGAGAAAATGCCATTTTTAATATTCCAAGACAGCTAAATTTTTAAAATGAATCTCAAATAAATTACATCTTTGTGGTACCGAAAAATTATTTTCTTTTTCGCCTTTTGCTTATCTGTAAAAGGAATGTCTGTTTTTTCCTAAACTTGTATTTTGCATTACTACGGCATTAAAAAAATAATTGCTTCATTTTCAAAGTATGTGCAGGAGAGAAATTAGAAAAACTCATTAAGACATTTTGGGAAGACACCAAATTAACTGTGCCCCGTAAATTAACTTTGTTCAAAGTTGCCTCAGAGTTACAATGCGATTTTGAAACATATTTTCATTTTTGTGAGCAATTACATGTAACTATATCATTTTCAACATTTTGTCAAAAAGGGTTCCAAATTTTTCTGCAAAACGCTGTTCAGTTTTTCAATCAAAGTAGCTGTTGCGGATTTCTTGAAAAATAAACTATTGAAAATAATACTTATAGACCTATTTAACTTAAGAGTTTCATGACTTATTAGCAAGTTACATGACTATTATTAGCTCTATTAGCGAGTTAAAAACAAATGATACCCCCTTTTCAATAATATTTTTAATGAAAATTCCCGATTTGTCCATGCTCTGTATGGGATGACTACATGTGATTATTTGTTAACTTGAAATCAAGCAGATATGTAACTTAATTGTATTCGTGAGTTTATTCGGATTCGTGAATTACATAAATAGCCCTGACACAATACACCTAAACAGCTCAGTTTGTCTGCTGTACCAGCTGGTACTGAGTGGTAAAAATTTTGCGAGTGTCTGTCGGACTCTCCGACTCGTCAGCCGATGCTACACGGCCGTTCGCCCGTCTGCTCACCCGTGCAATGAAATCACTGTTTACTGTCTGTTAAGGGCCCCGCTAACTTTTCCGACGCGATGTAGATGTAGTCTCTTTTCGCGAGTGTGTACATATAAGATACCCGTAGCTCACCCATGCTATTAGCCGATCAGTGGCCATTGACACACAGTTGATGACTATGTTTTAGATTGACACTTCCCTCACCCGGCCGATTTTTACGAATTTCCGCATATAGATATTTGGGTGTTACTCGCTTCCTTCCTGACATCTCACTGCAATCCCTACAATTTGTTCTAGGCATCTCTCCCGCAGTTCATCCTTCCGGATCAATCAGCTCTTTCCTCATTTCCCTTTCACTTTCGCTTCTCACGGGGCAGTGGCCGTGTAGATTACTGAAAATATTACCACGACCTCGAATTTGAAACACGTTTAATTTTTTTAAACTACTTGACATTAAGCCCCTACCACACATTCCAAATTTTTCGCAAAAATGGCTTCAATCTTTTCTATAAATTTCCTTCTCAATTATGTGTTATGTGCAGAGTATGGTGATGGTGTATGTCCAATAGGATAAATTTCCGTAAATTAGATAAGTTCAATTTCTTTTCTAATACTTCCTACTACACTACTGAAAGTAAGGTATTTTATTTATAAAATCTGTTCTTCAAACGTCGACTTCTAAATGCTATAATGTACTTTAGGAAGGACACAAGTATCTTGCTCGCGGAACCTAATGTCTGGGATCAAAGTCTACCACACGCAATTTGTTTGTGTGGAGAGGGTGAAATCGCGGGTTGATCTAGTACTGTAGAAATTGTACAGATGTAACAATACTATATTATCAAATTAGTATTGAGTACATGGCCAATAAGATAAAACAGTAAAAAAAACGGAGGGTATTTATACTTTAAGCAAGTAAGAATATCATGTAGTATGTATAAATAGGCTGTTTTACGCTTTGAAGAAATAATTGCCCAACTATGTTAATAATATGTTTTCTTATTTATATATTCGAGAACAATTATGTCTAACGATTGAAGCTGAGACAACTACGAATAAAACTCGTTTGAAAATGTTTGTGAGTATAATAAAATCATAAGAATTTGTTATGCAGATATCCACTTCCCAACACACGACAACTCGTTTCTATGGGCGACCACTAATTTCTACGTTAAACATGCAAA